TATGGCCAATGGTCAGGGATGATGGGAGTTGCATGGCGAGTCCCCCCCGAGTGGAAATAAAGACACATGACACAATTCTTTAAGGTTAATGGGCTAAAAAAGGCCACAACTTTATTGGTTACAGGTGATGAGCGGTATTGGCTTAGGCATTGGTCCTAACTGACTATATCCGGCTTCAGCCCGTCCGCTTGAAGTCCGGGAAGGGTTAACCACCAGTAGGGGGAGTCCTGCTGATGCACATCAACTAGGAACCCCCCTCCCCGGGTCACCACTAGCAGGTGTGCCTTAGGCCCTCACCTCCCCAGGCTTCAGACAGGGCCCTGCCCCCCAGAATCCTTTATCGGACTACCCTTCAATATGTGGGGCAGGTGATGGCACTACCTCCCCCTTCCATCTACAGAACTATACCAATGCCCAACCACCAATACCAAGGAAGTTGGGACGATTTGCTATGAGGTGGGCGAAAAGTGCCTGGTGCCAATTTGCCAAGTGGAAAAAATTCCTACCAGACCCCTCAATGGCGACCAACTGAGGTCCATAGCAAGGTCAAAGATGAAAACCTTAAAGGGCGGGAGGGTGGGAAACAGGAACAGCTGGAGGCGGCAAAAGAGGGAGATCCCCAGCCGCGCCTGTGTTAAATAGGGCAGGCCACACACCCCGAGCCAGCCGATTGGCTGTCCAGTGGATGATGCGGCTGGGGATTCCCTCAATCGCGTGGAGGCTGAGAGCCAGCCGCCACGTGCGTGGTGGAGGCGTGAAGCCCGCAACACCACCTCCTTCTGCAGGCGGAAGTGGCTTTGGAGAATATCTGGAAGTCACCAGATTGGGAAAGGCTGGTGTGGGATGATGGAGAACAGCTTGACCCCATCAACTGAAATGTTGCATGCCGGGTGGCAATGGTAGGGTGTCCAACTCTAAATGCCTCCCTTTTGCGACAGCCCTTACACATCCTTTCCTCTCGAAGCCCAGGGTTTAATTCATGCTGAGGAGTTCCTTTTGATGCAGAAGCAAGGCTCGTTCACAGTGTGTTTGGAATAGGTCTCTCCTGCAGGTAAACAATTCTTCTAAGGACTTTTTTTTGCACACGATGAAAGCAAATCACCCTCTTGTATGACAGCTTCACTGCCCTTCCTACAGATTAAAAGGCTTTGACAATCTGCTGGCAATGAAGGGAATTGCTAAATGTTTATAGGACCCGACTTGAAAGCAGGAATTCCTGATGAGACAGCATTAGATGTAGAGCTGACTTGGGTAATATGGCGCTCTGAGCGTGGACAACATTTGGCACCCTCCCCAAATATTTATGATTTTCACAATAATTCATTTAGGTACAGTTGCTTTTCAATGGATTTTCTCAGTAGGTACCCATTTAAATATAGTCCCCCCCCCATTAATATGATTGTTTTGTGCCCCCTCGGCCCAGGGCTCTGTGTGTGGGAACTGCCTGCAGTACCCTAAATCTGCCGCTGTTAGATGCAACCCACAAGCAAGAGGGCCTTTTTGGGTTTCTCTGTGTGTGTCCTTGACATGACCTTGACATGTCAGGAGTGCTCTGATGGTGTTTCCTGCTTGGCAGGGGGTTGGACTCGATGGCCTTTGTGGTCTCTTCCAACTCTATGATTCTATGATTCTATGATTCTACTACTTTGACAGGTGAAATATATCCCTCCCTTTTCTGGAAATAAGGGGCATGGCTTAACAGGTGGTGTAAAAGGATAAGAACGTAAGAAGAGTCTGCTGGATTAGGCCAATGGCCAATGTTGTCCAGCATCCTGTTGTCCAAGTGGCCATTCAGATGCCCCAAATTGGGAAGATTGTCTTCCATGAATACGGTCTTAACAGTATGTCCGTAAGTGAGTGTGGAGGCCAATTCTGGATCCACACGTCCTTCCACAGTTGGGACATTGGTTTCCAGGCGGGAGTTGATCATGGTAAGGGTTTGCCAAGCGTGCCTTCCTCGTAGCACATTTCTCCCTTGTGTCCTGAGTTCAAGTGCCTTCAAAGCCCACGACACCTTTGGTAAAGGCGGTTCTCCAATTGGAGCGCTCACAGGCCAGTGTTTCCCAGTTGTTGGCGTTTATACTACATTTTTAAAGATTTGCCTTGAAAGGACTTTAAAGCTCCTTTGTTGTCCACCAGCATGACGCTTTCCATTCTTAAGTTGGGAATAGAGTAGTTGCTTTGGAAGATGATAATCAGGCCCACATGACCAGTCCAACAAAATTGATGTTGAAGAAACCCTTAGCCTTATCCTCCAATAGATGGTTCCATCAGAGTCAATGGAGTTACATCCAGGATAATTTTTTAAGCCCATAAAATGCCTTTCTTTTCAAGGTTGCTAGCCTAAACATTTGCACGGGTTCTTATTCACTTCTAGGCACAGATCAAGAAGGTGATTTTTAACTTTAGTACATAAGAGGAATACTGCTGATTGCAGTAAAGGTAAAGGGACCCCTGACCATTAGGTCCAGTTGCTGACGACTCTGGGGTTGTGGTGCTCGTCTCGCTTTACTGGCCAAGGGAGCCAGCGTTTGTCCGCAATCAGCTTCTGGGTCATGTGGCCAGCATGACTAAGCTGCTTCTGGCGAACCAGAGCAGCGCACGGAAACGCCATTTACCTTCCCGCCAGAGCTGTACCTATTTATCTACTTGCACTTTGACGAGCTTTCGAACTGCTAGGTTGGCAGGAGCTGGGACCGAGCAACAGGAGCTCACCCTGTTGTGGGGATTCAAACCGCCAGCCTTCTGATTGGCAAGCCCTAGTCTCTGTGGTTTAACCCACAGCGCCACCTGCATCCCATTGATTGCAGTATTCACACATATATACAACCTGATCCCAAGATGCATTAACACTGAAAGGAGATCTTGCTTCTCCCATAGTTGGTCTCTCAGGTGCTACTGGAAGGAATTTTTTTATTTTGTTTCGACTACAGCAGACCAACATGGCTACCTACCTGTAACTAGAACTTCTCCCATAGTTACAGCCTTGGACTCAGGCAGAAATCAAGCAGGGCTCTCCCTCTCAGACTTCTGCCTGCAGCCTGCTTCTTGCTCTCCACTCTGGCTACCAGCCAATTGGGGGAGGGGGCACCACCCTTTTGCCACTTCCTTTGTTGCCCCATCGACCCATACTTAGCCCATTACCAAGAAACTCACCTGGCTATTCCAGCAATTGAATCCTTGCTGGATGCAGGAATTACCAGGGACTCAGGCATACAGCCTAACCCTCACCCACCGCCAAAAAACCCACGCAACAGTATTTTCCAGGTGCAAGAGATGAGCTTTATTTTTTTTTCTTTGCAGGAGTTATGTTTGTGATCTGGGATAAAAACTATATTTCCTGCTGGCTTTTATCAACACATTCTTAGCTGCTTCACGGAGATCAGCAAATCATTTTCCTTTGTAAAGTTTTAGCTTAGTCGGGAACACAAAGCAGATGGCTCTTTGAATGTGGAAGGAGGGAGAGAGTTCTCAGGAAGGTCCTAAATGCCAGATAAATGGCAAGGAAGGTTTACAATCAGATTAAGAGAATATATTACAGTTTGGGTGGGCGTAAACAGAGATATTAAACGGAACTTCTAATTTGGATCACCCCTGTGGAGAGGGAGCCGGGCTCTCTCCCTCTTTGACAGCCTCAGGGAGCCTGCCTGCTCCCCCCTCTTCATAAGACCCTCCTGTACATTTGGAGAAGAAAACGTGCATTGACTCCCCAGAAACTTTAAAGCACAATTCTACGAATAGCAGAGGACATGCTTTATAAATCATAGAGTCACAGAGTTGTGTTGTTGTTGTTTAGTCATTTAGTCGTGTCCGACTCTTCATGACCCCATGGACCAGAGCATGCCAGGCCCTCCTGTCTTCCACTGCCTCCCGCAGTTTGGTCAAACTCATGCTGGTAGCTTCGAGAACACTGTCCCACCATCTCGTCCTCTGTCGTCCCCTTCTCCTTGTGCCCTCCATCTATCCCAACATCAGGGTCTTTTCCAGGGGCTCTTCTCTTCTCATGAGCTGGCCAAAGTATTGGAGCCTCAGCTTCAGGATCTGTCCTTCCAGTGAGCACTCAGCGCTGATTTCCATTTACACCACAAAGAACTCATAACCCACCTACTTTCAGCAGCCAGAAACACCATAACCAGACACTGGAGAGACCTGTCAGGAGCAAACATGGACCAATGGTACCAAATACTATGGGAAACAGCCCTACTAGAAAAATTAACTAATAAACTGAAACTGACACGGGGACAAACAGAAGAAGACGCCTTCACCCCGGTATGGGTCCCCTTTATCACATACACAGCCCAACAGGACAATGACAATAATCCACCAACAGCATACAAATCCATATGGCTAACCTGATCCAAAACACCCACCCAACTCACTCACACACGAAAACAAAGATCACCACAGCCAATCACAAGCAAACAATCTCACTCTAGGCCAACCCCAACCTCTCTCACCACCAAAGGAACACAAGTGAACAACACAAGCAACGCTGACACCAAACTCTACATACATTAAACATAATAGAAACACCGCCACCTGACCCCACCCTCATCCATCTTCCCTCTCTCCACCCCCCCTTTCTTTTTTCCTTTTTTTCTTCTCCCCCTAATGCCTCAACAAATGAAACGGATTTGTAAAAATGTTACATGAAAGAAAGAAAAAATACGAGGCATTACACTTACTTCTGTAAAACAAGAAAATCCTTAATAAAATATTTTTTAAAAAAAGAAAAAAAGAATGGATAGGTTTGATCATCTTGCAGTCCATGGGACTCTCAAGAGTCTCTTCCAGCACCATAATTCAAAAGCATCAATTCTTCGGCGACCAGCCTTCTTTATGGGTTTGTCATTGCTTTTCTCCCAAGAAGCAGGCGTCTTTTAATTTCATGGCTGCTGTCACCATCTGCAGTGATCATGGAGCCCAAGAAAGTAAAATCTCTCACTGCCTCCATTTCTTCCCCTTCTATTTGCCAGGAGGTGATGGGACCAGTGGCCATGTAACCCCCTGCAAGGTAGGAATATGCAGCTGTCCCTTGATCCTGCAACCTTGGCGTTATCAGCACCATGCTCTAATGGTCCAACCAACTGAGCTATCCAGCTGATGGATGCAGAAGGACCAAGGTAACATTTTCCCAGACCCAGTTCTTGGCATCTCCAGTGAAAGGACCTCAGAGCTGGCTAGATTTCTCTCATGTGCTCTGGGTGGGGCAATTTTCAAAAGCAGCCCAGAAACTGATGCCCCTCAGGTGTGTTGGTGGAGAAGAGGGATGTAGAATTTCTATCGGGCTCATCATCAGTGAGGTCAATGTCAAGTACAGTGGTACCTCGGGTTAAATACTTAATTCGTTCCGGAGGTCCGTTCTTAACCTGAAACTGTTCTTAACCTGAAGCACCACTTTAGCTAATGGGGCCTCCTGCCGCCGCCGCGCCGCCAGAGCACGACTTCTGTTCTCATCCTGAAGCAAAGTTCTTAACCTGAAGCACTATTTCTGGGTTAGCGGAGTCTGTAACCTGAAGCGTATGTAACCTGAAGCATATGTAACCTGAGGTACCACTGTATCGGGGTGACCATTTTAGGGAAACACCTGCTGACGCGTGTATTTGCTCTGGAAATGTGCTTAGATGGAAATATGTCCTGTTCAGGGTGGTTTCACTACTGTCTCCAATTGTTGACTTCTGCTAATAAAAGGAGCCTTGGCAGAGCTAGTCGGCAGCTTGCTTGGAGCACGCTTGCCAGCGTGCTTCTGCACAGCTCACCTGCATCCACCCTCCCGTCGTCTCTGTTACTCCTACACTCCATCCCAGGAGCTGCCGTTAACATTTGAGCAGAAGGCAAAAACAAACTCAGCTTCATCTGTGCAGAGTGGGGATGTACCTTGTGAGCTCTTCCATCACTCCAGGGCCTCGTGCGCAGCTTCAAAAGGAGGCTGCCACACCTCACAGCCCCAAGGGGACGACTGAGCATCATTGACTGCTGCCTTTGCCGAAACTTTGTCAAGAAGAATTTGGATTTGATATCCCGCTTTATCACTACCCGAAGGAGTCTCAAAGCGGCTAACATTCTCCTTTCCCTTCCTCCCCCACAACAAACACTCTGTGAGGTGAGTGAGGCTGAGAGACTTCAGAGAAGTGTGACTAGCCCAAGGTCACCCAGCAGCTGCATGTGGAGGAGCGGGGAAGCAAACCCGGTTCACCAGATTACGAGTCCACCGCTCTTACCCACCATACCACACTGGCCCTCAAGAAGAAAAAGGCTGGATCTGAGAGAAGGGAGAGGGGTACTGAGTCTCCTCCATGGGGGTGAGGGCTACTGCTACCCACTGAAAGGATAAACCAGGCACCCCCAACCTTCGGCCCTCCAGATGTTTTGGGACTACAATGCTGGAGTTCATAGTCTACGTACAGCTTGGCAAGTGAGCAATTGGTGTTTTGAGGGAGACAGAGCATGGGAGAAATTTGCCTGGAGATAAGAGGACCTGGTAACAGCTCAGTGATTGACTGAGGTCTCTCATATAGGCAGCATGACCTATGACATTGTTTGGCTAATTTGGAGTATTCTGGAATGCTTAGAGAGTGATGAAGTTTGTGTCTGTACATAGTAACTTGTATATAGCTTGTGAGTTTACTGCCGTACAGTCATACCTCGAGTTGAATGCGCTTCGGGTTGAGCGCGTTCGAGTTGCGCTCCGCGGCAACCCGGAAGTAACGGAGCGCGTTACTTCCGGGTTTCGCCGCTCGCACATGCACAGATGCTCAAAATGACGTCACGCGCATGCGCGGAAGCGGCAAATGCGACCCGCGCACACGTAGACGCACCGTCGCGTCTTGCGTTCCGTTTGGGATGCGAACGGGGCTCCAGAACGGATCCCGTTCGCATCCCGCGGTACCACTGTATATAATAAACTACAAAATCAAGTTACTAGTTGTCAGCTTTGTTCCTGATCGTCGCCCTGACTGAGCAGTCTTGATTGTTGCCTAGGGAAAGCTGCACTACTCTGCTAAGTTGTGCATCATTGAAGAAGTTCAGAAGTGAAGAGACTGGTCCTAGTAGCATGCAAAAGGACTTCAGAAAGTGCTCACAGGCTTTGGAGTTTTAGCATACAGTTCCCATCATCCCTGACCACTGGTCCTGTTAGCTAGGAATCATGGGAGTTGTAAGCCAAAACATCTGGAGGGCCACAGGTTGGGGATGCCTGGGATAAACTCTGGTGGAGGTGAACTGACTCTGCAATTCCTCTGTTTGCATTCTTTTTTTTTTTGCATTGGGCAGAAATGCATATATTGCATCAAACTGCATGCAAAATATCATGTGGGTTGTTGTTTTTTTAAATTACAGACTGATGCAGAAACGGAGAGGAGCAAATGTAGAGGTCCTTCCACTCCAGGTATTCCTATACTAAGACTTGCTACCACCTGTAGCAACAGTAGCGCTAATAGCAGTGGCTAATAGTAGCCGTAACATTGCTCTGTTTAGGAGAAGGAAGGCACACACTCTCAATGTAGCCCCTATACAGCTCAGCCCGCAGCGAAACAGTGTGATGATGATAATTGCACAACTGTGGAATTATGAGCCTAATGATAATAACCTAATGATAATTACCATTTTTGTGTGGTGTTGATTAATCATAGGACTTTCCCTGCGTGAGAAGACAGGCTCCAGCACATCGAACAGTCAAGATCCATAGTGGGCCCAACGGTCAAGAAGGAAGTTTCCTCATGTGCTGGAGAGGGAAGTGAGGGGCAGATGGGACTTGTCCCCCTGGGAAGGGAGCCCATCTAGTCCATGGGACATTGGCCTGATCCAGCAGGCTCTTCTCATGTTCTACCACTGAGTTTTGGCCCTTCCCCAACAGGTCCCAGAACTGACTCCTCACTGTAACAGCCTTGCTAGCACTCTGAAAAAATGGGCCCTTCTTCAGCAAGGAAGACTGTTCACAATTGTCAGGCATTCCTGAGCTGAGGAACGAAGCTGAGAGGTTCAACTTGTGCAGAGGAGGGCAAACAAGATGACCAAGGGTCTGGAAACCAAGCCTTATGAGGAGCGGTTGAAGGAGCTGGGTATGTTTAGTCTGGAAAAGAGGAGACTGAGAGGAGATACAAGAGCCATCTTCCACTATCTAAAGAGCTACCACATGGAAGAGGGAGAAAGATTGTTTTCTCCTGCTCTGAAGGGGAGGGTTGAATTAATGGAGTCAAGTTGCAAGAAAGGAGATTCCGACTAAACATACGGAAAAACTTTCTGCCAGTAAGAGCTGTTCGACAGTGGAATGGTTTTCCTCGGGAGGTTGTACACTCTCCTTCCTTGGAGAGTTCTAATCTGAGGTTGGATGGCCCTCTGTCTTGGATGCTTGAGCTGAGATTCCTGTATTGCAGGGGGCTGGACTAGATGAACCTTGGGGTCCCTTCCAATTCTACGATTCTATGCTTCTATGGTTTTGCTGAAGGGCATTTTCCACCCCTTGCCCGGATTCTGGGGAGGAGCCATTCTCATGTCTATGACATTCCTCAGGGTGCCCACCAAGCCCTGCCACATCCCATTAGAAGAAGAAGAAGAGTTTGGGTTTGATATCCCGCTTTATCACTACCCGAAGGAGTCTCAAAGCGGCTAACATTCTCCTTTCCCTTCCTCCCCCACAACAAACACTCTGTGAGGTGAGTGAGGCTGAGAGACTTCAGAGAAGTGTGACTGGCCCAAGGTCACCCAGCAGCTGAATGTGGAGGAGCGGAGACGCGAACCCAGTTCCCCAGATTACGAGTCCACCGCTCTTAACCACTACACTACACTGGCTCTCACTGGGCCGGCTTCTCTGCTTCTTCCTCCTCCCTGTCCTCAGATCATCAGACATCTGTGAAAAAGTAAAAAACTGCACTCTGTGCACCTGTGAGCAAGAGGTAATTTTATCTCTTAGGAAAGCGAGCCATGGGCTAAAGTTATTCCATTATAATTGGCTGATTTTTAATTTTAACTTTTCAAATATGGTTTTTATCATATGATTTTTATGTGCAATTGTTGTAAACAGAGACAGTGTGGCATAATGGTTAGAGTGTCAGACTAGGGTCTGGAAGACCAGGGTTCAAATCCCCACATGGCCAGGAAGCTCACTGGGTGATCTTGGGTCAAACATTTTTATCAGCCTAACCTAACACAATAGGGTTGTTTTGGGGATAAAACAGGGAGAAAAATAACTATGTTAATTACACTGAGAACTGGTATCCAATGTAGGATTGTGTTCACCAGACATGAGTTTTCCTTTATTTCTTTATTTCTGTCTACTTTTCATGAGGTCAGGGACAATATGTTCTTAAGCTGAATGCTTTGCTCAGTTCCACACACCACACTTTTCTCATACTGCCGTAGAACTGCAAACCTTGTTGTTGTTGTTTAGTCATTTAGTCGTGTCCGACTCTTTGTGACCCCCTGGACCAGAGCACGCCAGGCACTCCTGTCTTTCACTGTCTCCCGCAGTTTGGTCAAACTCATGTTTGTAGCTTCGAGAACACTGTCCCACTATCTCGTCCTCTGTCGTCCCCTTCTCTTTGTGCCCTCCATCTTTCCCAACATCAGGGTCTTTTCCAGGGAGTCCTCTCTTCTCATGAGGTGGCCAAAGTACTGGAGCCTCAGCTTCAGGATCTGTCCTTCCCGTGAGCACTCAGGGCTGATTTCCTTCAGAATGGATAGGTTTGATCTTCTTGCAGTCCATGGGCCTCTCAGGAGTCTCCTCCAGCACCAGAATTCAAAAGCATCCATTCTTTGGCGATCAGCCTTCTTTATGGTCCAGCTCTCACTTCCATACATCACTACTGGGAAAACCATAGCTTTTACTATACAAACCTTTGTTGGCAAGGTGATGTCTCTGCTTTTTAAGATGCTGTCTAGGTTTGTCATTGCTTTTCTCCCAAGAAGCAGGCGTCTTTTAATTTTGTGACTGCTGTCACCATCTGCAGTGAGCAAGCCTTAGCCTTACGAAGCCCCATTTATAGGTCAAAGCTATGCCTGACTTTATAGGACATAACCGCCAGTCTCCCGGCACAGGAAGACTTTCTGCCAACTTCCTCCAGCCTCCCGCCAGAAACACTTAACTCCCGAAAGTTGTCGGAGT